CGTGTTCTTCTAGTTCCCAGAACTCCATTCCTGGGCCACATTTTGAATGCTGAGGCAGGCTGATGCTGCGGCCGAGGCAGGCTGAGGCTGAGGCAGGCTGAGGCTGAGGCCGAGGCTGAAGGCAGACTGAGGCTGAGGCTGAAGCAGACTGAGGCTGAGGCTGAGGCAGGCTGAGGCTGAGGCTGAAGCAGGCTGATGCTGAGGCAGGCTGAGGCTGAGGCTGAGGCTGATGCAGGCTGAGGCTGAGGCAGGCTGAGGCTGAGGCCGAGGCTGAAGGCAGACTGAGGCTGAGGCTGAAGCAGGCTGAGGCTGAGGCTGAGGCAGGCTGAGGCTGAGGCAGGCTGAGGCTGAGGCTGAGGCAGGCTGAGGCTGAGGCTGTGACTGCGACTGCCGTTGCCGCTGCGACTGTCATCGCGAATGCGACTACGACTGCGAGAAGAGCAGAATTCTACAACTGGATTTTCATCTGAATCTTAAGGGGAATGCTTTCAGATATGCTTCTACATATCGCTGTTAGGTTGCTTTGCCGGGATAATTTTATCCTCAATCAAAGTGTGCCCGAAAGTCTTCGTGTTCAAATTGGGCCCCTGGCCCCCGGGATAACAACAACAACGGTTTCCGCCTGAGACTTGTTCCAAATTTACTCAGGACCCCCCGCTCCTGAGACTTCCTCACAAGGTGCTCCCGCCTGTGACTTCCTCCAATTTACTCAGGATCCCGCTCCCATTTGAGACTTCCTCACACTTTACTCGGGAACGGCGCTCCCATCTGAGACATCCTCACAATTTACTCGGGAACGGCGCTCCCGCTTGAGACTTCATCGCAATTGAGTCAAGATTTTACGCAATTCCATCAAGACCCCAGCTCTCGCCAGAGAACCCTTCACATGTTATGCAAGAATTTCGCTCTCGCCTGTGACTTCCATGCAACTTATTCAGAAATCGCGCTTTCGACGCTCAGGATACACGCTGCGCCAACGACGCCGTCACAATTTACTTAGTAATCGCGCTCTCGCCATACTCAGGCATCCCGCTTGAATGTCCTAACCACCTTTTTATTGGAGAGCGTAATTATTGTGTCAAGTTTGTGTTAATTTGCGGGCCCTCTTAGAAAAGCCCCTAATAAAGCCCAAGAGAGACACAATGAGGCCCCAAGGGAGCTTTTTAAGCTTCCTCCGGGTGATCCGGAGACCTCTCGGGGCCTCTTGGAGATTTCTTGGGTGGCTCCAAGACGGCGGGGGGGAGGGCGGGAGAGGGGGGATGGACCTCCTGGAGATGCGGACGCGGAGGAGGGGGGCGGCTTCTTCGGGCCTGATGGGGGCCTCTCGGGCGCCTCTTGAGGTCTGTTGGGGTTTCTTGGGGACCTCTTAGGTTCTTTTGGGGGTCCTGTGGAACCCTTGAAGCGTATTCTCGGGGTTATCTTGGAGCCCTTTGGGGGGCCGAGAAGCGATAGTGTTGTTGCTGCTGCTATTGCAGTTGCTGCTGCTGTTGTTGTAGCTGGTGTGGTTGTCTTAGAAGAAGAAGAAACAAAAGAAGTAGTAGTAGTAGTAGTGGTAGTAGTAGTAGTAGTAGTAGTAGTAGTAGTAGTAGTAGTAGTAGTAGTAGTAGTATTTGTAGTAGTAGTAGCAGTAGCAGTGGCAGTAGCAGTAGCAGCACTACTACTACTACTACTACTACTACTACTACTACTACTACTACTACTACTACTACTACTACTACTACTACTACTACTACTACTACTACTACTACTACTACTACTACTACTACTACTACTACTACTACTACTACTACTACTACTACTACTACTACTACTACTACTACTACTACTACTACTACTACTACTACTACTACTACTACTACTACTACTACTACTACTACTACTACTACTACTACTACTACTACTACTACTACTACTACTACTACTACTACTACTACTACTACTACTACTACTACTACTATCACTACTACTACTACGACTACTGATACTACTACTACAATTAGTCGTAGTCGTAGTCGTAGTCGTAGTCGTAGTCGTAGTCGTAGTCGTAGTCGTAGTCGTAGTCGTAGTCGTAGTTGTAGTCGTGGTAAGAGTAGTAGTAGTAGTAGTAGTAGTAGTAGTAGTGGTGGTGGTGGTGGTGGTGGTGGTGGTGGTGGTGGTGGTGGTGGTGGTGGAAGTGGTGGTGGTGGTGGTGGTGGTGGTGGTGGTAGTAGTAGTAGTAGTAGTAGTAGTAGTGGTCGTCGTCGTCGTCGTGGTTGTCATTGTTGTTGTTTTTGCTGTTGTTCTTGTTGAGCTTTCAATTCTGAAGAATAATTATTGTTGATCCCCCCCTCACCGGTTCATGCTGTTTCAATTTTTCCTCAATCGAAATGTGCCCGAAAGTCTTCGTGTTCAAACTGGGCCCCTGGCCCCCCTGTTAACAACAACAACGGCTTCCGCCTGAGCCTTCCTCCAAATTCACCCAGGACCCCCCGCTCCTGAGACTTCCTCACAATTTACTCAGGCTCGGTGCTCCCGCCTGTGACTTCCTCGTAATTTAATCAGGATCCCGCTCCCATTTGAGACTTCCTCACACTTTACTCGGGAACGGCGCTCCCATCTGAGACTTCCTCACAATTTACTCGGGAACGGCGCTCCCGCTTGAGACTTCCTCGCAATTGAGTCAAGATTTTACGCAATTTCATCAAGACCCCCGCTCCCGCCAGAGAACCCTTTACATGTTATGCAAGAATTTCGCTCTCGCCTGTGACTTCCATGCAACTTATTCAGAAATCGCGCTTTCGACGCTCAGGATACACGCTGCGCCAAGGACGCCGTTACAATGTACTTAGTAACCGCGCTCTCGCCATACTCAGGCATCCCGCTTGAATGTCCGACCCGCCCGACCCGCCCGTCAGGGGATCGCACGCCCGTCGTGGGCTCCCGCCCGAGACTTCCTTCAGGAACGGCGCTTTCGCCCAGGATTTCCTCGAACGTTCACGCTGTTACATTCCTGCTCCTCCTCCCTCTCCCTCCTCCCTCCTGCCTCCTCTCCTCCCTTCTCTCTCCCTCCTCTCTTCCCTCACCCTTATGCCTCTCTGCCCTATCCCCTCTCCCTCCTCTTCCTCCTCCCTTCTCCCTCCCCTCTCCTGCCTCCTCCCTCCCTCTTTCTTTTTCTCTCTCTCTCTCTCCCTCTCTCTCTCTCTCTCTCCCCTCTCTCGCTCTCGCTCTTTCTCTACCTCTCTTATCTGTCTTTCTCTCTCTCTCTCTGCCTCCAATCAACCGCCCCCCTCTTCCCTCCTTCTCTCCTGGCGTTTTCCCTCTTCGTTTGTCCCTGGTCCCTCCCCCTCCCTTCCTCCCACTCTCCCTCGTTATCCCTCTCCTCTTTTTGCAGGGCCCGCACCAATTCGAATGGCGGGCACACGTACGCCCACGAAGGATTGTCCGCCCGTTCAGGTTTGCCCGCTTGTCTAAGCCCGCCGCCCCCCGCAGAGAGAAAGAACCCCCCCAAAGGGGGTATGATCCAAGACAAAAAGGGCGGGTATCGAGGGTGTGGGGGACTCGCTTTGAATGACACGCGGGCAAGTCAGAGCGAACAGTCTTAGAATGAGTGATGGTGGTGTTGCTGTTGCTGTTGTTGTTGGTGTTTGTGTTGTGGTTGTTGTTTGCGGTTGCTGCTGTAATTGCTGTTGTTGTTGGTGTTGTTGGTCGTGCCGTTGTTGTGGTGGTTGATGTTGTTGGTGTTGCTGTAGTAGTTGTTGTTAATGTTATTGATGACGTCGTAGTCGTTGTTCTCGTTGTTGTTGGTGGTGTTACTGTTGGTGGTGGTGGTTATGTCCGTTGCTGTTGTCTTTGTCGCCGTTGCTGTCGCTGTTGCTGCTGTAGTCGTTGTGTTTGTTTGTTGTGGCGGTCATCTGTCGCGCAAGATGCCGTCATTTGAAGGGTAGACGTGCACGCAAGTGCACCATACCGATTGTACCAGGTAGCTTGCGCACCACATATTTTGCACCACGCCCATTGCACCACATCGACTGCGACACACACATACGACAACATGCATTGCACCGTTTAGGTTGCACCACGTCGGCTGCGCCCCACCAATTGTGCACCTCATATAATTGTTAAACAACTTTCCATCGCATGTTTGGAGGGCGAGACTGGCCTGATACCTGATTTCTGATCCTTGGAACGAAGCCCGATCCATGTGGAAACAAGTGGTTCCAATACTTTCATCACATGTCTGGGCGGCGAGAACACCCTAATCCCTGCTTTCTGATCCCCGGAATGGAGCGCGATCCCTGTTGGAACGCGCGTGCCCTTGTGAACCCACGCGACCCACAGTTTGTTGTCGGAAGGGTGGGGTCACGTGGATTCAAAGGGGCGGGCGCGTTTCGACAGGGATCGCGTTCCATTCCATGGATCAGAATCCAGGGATCTGGATGTTCTCGCCGCCCAAGCATGTGATTATTTGAATTGGAACCGCCCGTTCCGACAGGGATCGCGTTCCGGGGATCAAGCCATTCTCGCCCTCCAAACATGCGATACTTTGTCTGTTAATCCATGAGGTGCGCAACTGGCGGGGCGCGATCGACATAGTGCAACCTAAATGGTGCAATGCATGTTGTGGTGTGTATCTATAGATGTACATATTTATGTGATGCAGTCTACATGGTGCAATCTATGTGGTGCAGAAGTCAGTGCAACATATGTGGTGGTGCGCACCCTGCGTGGTACAATCGGTCTGGTGCAATATGTGTTGTTGTTTGATGGCGTGCGCGTCTACCCTTGTGTATGACGACGTATAACCGCAACACCACAAGACAACAACGACGATGGCAGCAACAGCAGCAACACTACCAAGAAGCAGCAAGCTACAACAACAATCACAACAACAACGATCCTGTTTGACCATGATTTCCTCCGCCGCGAAGCTCCCCGCTGCCCCCCCGCGCTCGCCCTCTGCACCCCTCCTCTCCCTCGCTCGAGCGCCCGCCCGGGCCGGCCTCTGGCGCCCGCCCGCCCAGAACGCTGGGGGCAGCGTGGACACCACGTGGAAACTGCTGCTGGGCATGGCCGACCTGCTGGTCGGGGGATCGGGCCGCGCCAGGGCCCTCTAGCTGCGCGTGGGAGGCGGCGTCAGAAGTCTTGGCTTCCCAGATGGGATCGGAGTAGATGCAGTCGGAGGATCGCGCCGCATCGCCGATGCATCTGCGGTGTCCGATTTTCTCCACGCCCACATCGCCGATGCATCGCCGACACATCGCCGACGCATCGCCGATGCATCGCTGGCGATGCATCGGCGATGCGGCTCGATCCCCCGACCGCATCTACTCCGACCTCATCTGGGAGGCCTCTACAGATGTTCCCGACCATTCCCCAATCAGAGCTTGCCTTTGTAGGGGTCCTAGTGGATTCATATGGTTAGGTTAGGTTTGCCGCTCATTTTCGCCGCACGCCCGGGTGCTTGGGTGCCTGGGGGTGCCCGGGTGCCCAGGTGCCAGGGGGTGCCCTATAGCCCTATAGCCCTACAGCCCAATAGCCCTATAGCCCTATAGCCCTACAGCTCTATAGCTCTATAGCCCTATAGCTCTATAGCCCTATAGCCCTATAGCCGAATAGCCCTATAGCTCTATAGCCCTATACCTCTATACCCTATAGCCCCATAGCCCTACAGCCCTGTAGTTTTATTACCCTATAGCCCAGTAGCCCTCATAGCCCATATAGCCCTATAGCCCTACAGTCCTAAACGATCATGCTTGTTTTTTTTTCTCCAGTATCATTGCGATCCGACCGGTCCGATTATGTCAGTATCGATTCCAGCCAGCCCGGTCCGATGCGATTTCGGATCTCCCAGCGATCCGTTTCCTTTTGCGTTTCACCCATCCGTCGATCCACCACTCCCTCCTCACAGGGAAACATCCGCCGCCCATGCCACCAGCGTTTGGCCCGGCAGGACCCACCGCGCAGCAAAGACATGGGGGCCACGGGGTGGAACATCCCATGCGCAGGGCATCGGTGTCGGCGCACTGGAGTTGAGCATGAAAGGGTTGTGAAGCGATGCGAAGCCTCTTCCCTCCCATTCCTTCCCTCCTCCCTTTTCCCCCCCTCCAAACCAAATAGTTTCAGTCGAGAAGTCTGCGCGACTCCACGCATTCTTAGTATCCCCCATTTCTGAAGCATGGGCTTCATGTTATTAGTGCGATGCCTCTACCTCCCTCCTTCCTCTTTCCCGACCCCTTCCTCCTCGCCCACACTCAGGCTCACTCAGACTCAGACTCGCTCACACTCAAGCTGACTCACACTCAGACTCACACTCAGACTCATACTCTACTCACTCATATGCAGGCTTAGTCATACTCAGACTCGCCCATACTGAGACTCACTCACACACAGAACAGTCGCACTTCTGTGCACTCATACTCGACTCAGTTATACCAAGACTTACTCGTACTCAGACTCGCTGACTGACATATTCTCTTTTCATTAGACTCGCGTCACAGACTCACGCTCGTAGTATGAATCCTTCGTACGGAGACCTCGTTCATGCATATTCAGTCACCCTCGGCTCACTCACGCTCAGACTGCCTCACACCAGTCTTGGCAGGCGCCGCATGTGCGTCCCCCACGGAGGAGCCTCCGGGGGGTATGACGCTTGCCCGTTCGCGCCCAGATTGGGGGGAATATCTCAGGCAGTGTGTCTGCCTGGTGGCTCCGACTTCTCCCTTGCCACGGCCCCGTGCTCATCGCGACGCCGTGGGCGCGTCATTGGAGGACCCCCAGGGGAAGCCGACAAGGGGGTGTGACGCGTGCGCGTTCCCGCCCAGACTGTGGGGATGCCTCGGGCTGTGTGCTTTGCGTCGTGGCTCGGGCTTCTCTTCCTTGCCAAGACCTCTTGCTCATCGTGATCTTGCGGGCGTGGAGCCGATGCTCTTTTTTCAACGCGGTATGACTTCATTTAGTAGAAGCCCTCCTCAGTAGATGCACGCTGCTCCCTTGACAAAGTCTCGTGGGAGAGGCCTCCGATGTGCGTCTCGGGTGATCTTGCGGGCGTGGCATCTGAGGATCCCGAAGGGGAGCCGCGATTGGGGGTGGCATTTTCCCGGTTGCGCCCATCTTTGTGGGGATGCCCCAGGCTGTTTGCCCGTTGGATGGCTAATACTTGGATCTTTGTTGCAGAGCCCCATGCCCATCGCGCTTTACCAGGCGTGGCTTTTGAGGGACTCTAAGGGGAGCCGCCAGGGGGTATGGCATTTGCCCTTTCGCGCCCAGAGTGAGGGCAGATCCCAGGCCGGGTGCTTGTTTCGTGGCTCAAACGTGTTTTGCCTTTTCTAAAGGCCCCATGCCCATCGCGATGTAGCAGGCGTAGGGTTTGAGCACCCCTAGGGGAAGCCAACAGGGGTGTGATATTTGCCCGTTCGCGCCTTGGGTGTGGGCATAGCTCAGGCGGGTTGCTTGTGTCATGGCTCAGACTGTTCGTTCCTCTGAACGCCCCATGACCATCGCGATCTTGCAGGCGCTGCATTTTTAGATTCCACAGGGGAGTCGCCAGGGGGTGTGACATTTGGCCCGTCGCCCTCAGATTGTCGGGATACCTCAGGCGGCTTGTCCGCTTGGAGGCTCATTCTTCGTTCTTATCAAAGCCCCATGCCCATCGCGATGTGCAGTCAACGCTTCCCGTAAGGACGCGTGCCTTCATTGAGGGTACCCTTGTTTCTTTGCCTCTGCGTCCCGTCATTTGCCGTTTTCACTGGTCGCCCGCCGCTCAACAAATCCCAATTTCGGCCTCCAAGGGCCGTGCGTCCGTACCACCCGTCCTTACTATACCGTGTTGATTGTAGTAGGCGTCGCATTTGAGGACTGCCAGTGGGGTCCCCCTCGTCCCTCGTCCCTTATGCTGCTCTCCTCCCCCCCTCAATGGGGCGGGAGGGGGGGGAAGAGGGGGGGAGGACGAGGAAGAGGAGGAGGAGGAGGAGGGTACCCCCGTCCTCCCGTCTCCCTCCTTAGTGCGTTCCCTCCTTGCGCGTTGTACATTGGCGCAGACATGTTTCATACTATCTACAACGTATCGACTCCTACACAGAAATCAGCATGCTTACCCATAGTTTGCCATGGTTGCGAAACAGGTGACCCTCGCCTTTGGTCTTGGTGTTCGGTTGCGCCATGTAGATTGGGGCAGTAGTCTTGTGTGTATGTGTGTTTGTATGCTCGTCCCATGATTCGACATGTCACAGGATTAAAAGCCAGCGGGGCCGACCGCATAACACACAGTTCCATCCACCGTCCGGGGAACATGCAAGTTGTTTATGTTTTTTGTTTTAGTCGTTGCCTCTCTCTCTATCCTTACTTGTCTCTCTCTCTCTCTCCCTCTATCTCCATGTGTCTGTGTGCGTGCGAGCGAGCGTGCGTGCGTGCGTGCGTGCGTGTGTGTGTGTGTGTGTCGCTCTGTCTGTCTGGCTGTCTGTCTGTCTGTCTCTGTCTGTTTGTCTGTCTGTCGGTCTGTCTCTCTGCCTGTCTGTGTCTGTGTTTCAGTGTCTGTGTCGGTGTCTGTGTTTGTGTCTGTCTGTCTGTCTGTGTGAGTGTGTGTGCCTCTGTGTGTGTGTCTCTGTCTGTGTCTGTGTGTGTCTCTGTGTGTGTGTGTGTTTGCGTGTGTGTCTGAGTGTGTCTGTGTGTGCCTGAGTGTGCCTGAGTGTGCCTGTGTGTCTGTGTGTGCCTGTGTGTGTGTGTGTGTGTGTCTGTCTGTGTGTCTGTCTGTGTGCCTGCCTGTGTGTCTGTCTGTGTGTCTGTGTGTGTGTCTGTGTGTGTGTCTGTGTGTGTGTGTGTCTGTGTGTGTGTCTGTGTGTGTCTGTGTGTGTGTGTGTCTGCGTGTGTGCCTGTGTGTGTGTCTGTGTATCTGTGTGTGTGTGTGTGTGTCTGCGTGTCTGTGTGTGTGTTTGTGTCTCTGTGTGTGCGTGTGTGTCAGTGTGTGTCAGTGTGTGTCTGTGTTTGTGTTTGTGTGTGTGTGCCTTTGCGCGTCTGTGTGTGTGTGTGTCTGTGTGTGTGTCTTTGAATGCCACTGTGTGAATAAATCGACGGATGTGCGTTTTCTTTGCGTTCCCAGGGATGTGCCCACTGTAGAATTCAGCCGCCTGGTATACTAGATTCGCAGACGTTTCATCAGAACCAGTTTAATAAGAAGCACGTGTGTGGGAGTTCCCAAGACTCCCTGCGCACTGCGACTTGCCAGGACTGCTGTGCAACCGTTACATACGCATGACACATGTTCAACAGCGCTGTTTCCACATCTAGCGATCTAGCGTCAGTGACACAACACATTCCGTTTGTGGTTTCACCAAGGCATTTGATTCAGCGCGCCGTGGCAATGGCTGGCTTGTTTGTTTCAAAGAAGCGCTGATGCCTAAGTTTCCAGAAGTTTTTGCATATTGTGCAACGCCAGTGCGTTGTTGAACTCACCCACGCCTGCGAACGCGAAGGGCACTCGCGGCGGACGACACACCTCCCGTCGTTGATGCGCGGAGAGGCACTGCCATGCGGGGCGGCGCGAGCCGTGCATTTGGCTACAGGACGGCCGCGCTCGCTGCGCGCGGCTGGCCGCAGCGAGCATGCTGGAGCTCGCGCCAGACATTGTTGCGACGCCCGCAGCAGTTGCGCGCGGTGCCTTGGCATCGCTCGGACGTGTGCATTTTTTCTTGGCGAGGACAACAGAGGATAACTCTTAATCATCGAGCGAAACTACACGCACGAAATCGAGAGATGCACGGGGAATGGACGTCCGAGCGATGGCGAGTTGCACCAAGTAGTCAGCAATCACCCATTGCGTGCTGCCCGCCTCGTCAACACGGCGTTGATGCACCACCCGCCGGTGGGCAACATTCTGCGCGGGCAGCACCGCGCGCGCCAGGAGCATCTGGAGGGCGCGTCTCTGCTCGGCCACCTCGTGGCGGTGCTTGGCGTGGCCGGCGAGGGTCGGTCCCTCGTGTCGTGCGCATCGCGCAGCGTCCCGCCCGAGCGCCTCGCACTTGTGGTAGCACGCGCAAGCCGCCAGATTCTGCGTGCTCGCCGTGGAGACATCAACAGTGAGGCGCTGCCCAACCAGGACATCACGGGCAAGACCTCGCGCGTGCTGGATTGGGAGACGCTGAGCTACACCTCCTGCGTGGCGATGCCGCACTGGGTGGCGCTCGCTGCCATTGCAGTCCTAGGGCGCCTCTACTTGGCGATCATGGCTGCGTTTGAGCTGCCAGACAGCCTCTGGCGCAACTACGACGACGCGCCGCCGGGCGCGCAGGCGCGGACTCCTAGGAGGAGCTTGGCTGGGAGCTGCACCGCCGCATCGACGCGGCGATCCGCCAGATGCTCGGCGATGCCACGGTGACCGCGCCCGCTGCCCGCTGCTATGTCAACGTGCGAAGCCGTGCGGGCTGCGCTGTCTAGTTGTCTGCTGTGAACGCTCGGCTTCCTCAGCCGCCGGAGTCGCGCGGGCTCCCGCCATCCTGAATCCTGCCTTCGGCCCCTGCCCTCCTTCCCGCCGACCCCAGCTGGAGGCGCTCAGGCCCCTCTGGGTCCAGCTGGGCGGTCCGTCCGAGGCGGGGGCTCCAGAGGCCCCCTCTGGAGACCCCACGGGGTTCCAGGAGCCCCCAGGCCTCGGTTCGCCCGAGGCGGGGGCTCCAGAGACCCACTCCGGAGACCCACGGGGTTCCAGGAGCCCCCAGAAGCGGGCGCCCCCGGAAGCGGGCGCGCCCGCCGCGCGGCGTCGCGCTGAGAGGCGCCTGGCTGCCGAGCGGAGGGCATGTGGCCTCCGCCGGCCGCCGCTGCCGCTGCGCGGCCGCGGCGACCGCCGCCGCACGGCGTCGCTGTGGCCACCCACCTCCTCGCTGGGCTGGCTGGCGCCCTCCTCCTCCTCCTGCTCCTCCTCCTCCTCCTCCTCCTCCTGCTCCTCCTCCTCCTCCTCCTCCTCCTGCTCCTCCTCCCTCCCCCTCCCCTCCCCCCCCCCCTCCTTCCTCCTCCTCCTCCTCCTCCTCCTCCTCCTCCTCCTTCTCATCCTCCTCCTCCCTCCTCCGCTCGATGGCGGGGGCGCCATCAAGCCAGGGCCCTCTATAGCTCGTCGGGCGGCGGGGTGCTGCTGGCGAGCGGGCTCACCGACGGCGCGCCGCTCGGTCGGCGCGCCCCCATGTCCCGGAGGCACCGTGCGGGGACCAGTTGTTCTCGTGCGACGATTCGGAGATCTCCATTGGATTTCGAGGGCGAGATCGGAAACTGGAGCGTATACAGTACCAGTGTCGTGCTCTTGTTCAATCTCAGGACTTTTTGAGGGTCGGGGACGACGTCGGGGTGGTGTGGTGTATACCTTTTTCCCCCGTTTTCCCCGGGAAGCAGCGAAACATGTATACACCAGGATCCCGTATACACCAGGATCCGCATTCCTGTGCAAGTGTCAGTGCAGGGCCGGAGAAAACGCCGGTATATATATATGTATATATATATATATATATAGAGCTCGAGCTCGTTTCCCTCAAAAGGATGTGCCATTTTCAGCGTTCATATCAGTGTTAAGGCGGGCCCGTCCCTCTACAGGAGGAATATTCAAAAATAGTAAAAAATAGTATGTCGACTATTTTTGAGTATTTTTGTTGACCATTCTGGAGTATTTTTCGTCGGTCGAAAATCCCCCTGTAGGGGGACATGCCCGACTTACTATTCGTGCACCGGCGGACAGGGCGAAAGTGTCAGTCACGGCTGCGCGAGTCCCAGGCTAGCTGCGCGCAAGAGATGGCGCGCCGACGCGCGGCGCTCCGTGCGCATCGCTCCCTGGCATGGCACCCTGTGCGTCGTTTTCTCCGCTCGGCTTCCATGGCTTTTCGGTCTACGTGATCGTAAAGATGTGAATGTGTGTGTGGGCGCCGTTGCTGTTCCATGAGTATCGAACAGGTGAAACATGAAAAACGTTGCTGCTCCAATGTGCGACGCGCTCCCTCCTCCTTTCCTCCCCCCTCACCTCATTCCTCCCTTCCTCCTCCGCCCTTCTCCCTCCCCAGTCCACTCGCCTTTTCCTTCCCTCTTTTTCTCCCCTCCCTTCTCCCTCCGCCCCTCCGCTTCCCTCCCTCCTCTTTCCTCCGTCCCCTCGCCTTCTCGCTCCCTCCTCCCTTCATTCCTCCTCCCTTCCTCCCCCCCAGGAAGCATACATTAAACATGGAGATGACGGAGGGGAGGAGGAGGAGGAGGAGGAGGAGGAGGAGGAGGAGGAGGAGCAGGAGGAGGAGGAGGAGCAGGAGGACGAGGAAGAGGAGGAGGAGGAGGAGGAGGAGGAGGAGGAGGAGGAGGAGGAGGAGGAGGAAGCGAAGGGGGAGGGGGAGGGGGAGTGGGAAAGGAGGGGGTAAACGCGCCTGGGTGGTGGAGGTCACTGTGGTCACCCCGTACACCTACCGCGGCGGTTATTTGGCGCCGCCGCCGCCACCGCCAGCGGCCACCCCCCCAAGGGGGGGTCCCGCCCGAGTTCGATCCCTGGCAGCTTCCCGTTTGGCGGCGGCACAAGGGGGATGAGTCGCCATGAGGGAAACGGGTCCTGAGGGAAGCGGGTCCTGAGGTTTTTGCCGTTTTGGGCCTCCCCGGGCCTTCCACGGGCCTTGGGACTGTCAGACAACGGTGGTCCTGGGGAAAGGCCCCAGGGTCCAGGACCTACTTCATCAGGACCCGTTTCCCCCATGCTGAGTGGGGGGGAATGCTGGAAACGCAACGGGGGGATCCGTTCGGACGGCAGGGGGGTGGGATCCGATCGGACGGAAGGGGGGAGGGAGGTCGGGAAAAGCGGGGGGGGTCACCGTGGCCACCCCGTACACCTACCGCGCCGGGTATTTGCGGCGCCGCCGCCGCCAGCGGCCTCCCCCCCCGTGGGCTCAGCCGGGCCCGATCCCCAGCAGTTTCCTGCCTGGTGGCAGCATGGGGGCGGGAATGCTGGAAGGGAGGGGGGGATCGGTTCGGACGGAAGAGGGGGTCAGGAACAAGGGGGGGGGCGTGGCCACCTCATACACCTACAGCTGCTGGTATTTGGCGGCGCGGCCGCCAGCGGCCCCCTCGGGGGGGACCCCGCGGGGCTCGATCCCCAGCAGCTTCGGCCCGGCGGCTGCAGGGGGGAGAGTGGTACGATTGGGGCCGTCCTGGAATCGCTGACGCACGCGGCCGTTCGCCTACCCAGCGCTGGCTCTCGCTGCGCCAGACGGGGAGGCACGTGCTGCCCAGGTGCGCCCCGGTGCGCGGGTCGCCGCCGGGGGAGGCGGCCGGGGCCCGCCGTGGGGCCCCGCGGCGGGGCCCCTCCCTGACGCAGGGCGTGCGCCACGGAGTGGCGTGGCCAGTCGCCCGTCAGTCTGTGCGCGGCGGGTCTGTCAGGCCAGGTGAACCGTGCCTGGGCGGCACATGTGTGGGGCGACGTGTCGGGCGATTGGGGCCTCCAATCTCCCAAAACAGTGCAGTAAAGCACCGTGCGGAGAGGTCTACTGTCGGGAGCCTGGATCAGTACAGTAATGTATTTTGACACGATGCAGCTGCTAATTGTTTCTTGACGGCGGCGGGTATTGATGTGTCGGAGGGAGGCGAGGAAAAGGCGGCACATTGGTTGCAGATCGCATGCGTGAGTATGTACAGCAGCACGCCGGCGTCGACAATGCGAGGGGCAAGGCGTAACCATCGTCGCCGGCTCCGGCTCCATGCGCAGGGATTCTCTGACAAATCTATGCTTCTATGCCCGACCCGCCAGAGTCCCCCCACAAACGGGTACGAAGGCCAACAGCGGTTCCCGTCCAATTTGGGCAGCGTTCGCTGTTGTCGGTGTCGTCGCGGGCGTTGGCCATTTTAGACTCAGGGTCGCCTGCCCAACAGCGGCCGCTGTCGATCTTGGACGCCAGCACCCCCTCCGCTGCGGCCACGTCGCTGAGATGATTCCCTCTTCGGGCTCGCAGGGAGGCTCTGGCTGAGGGCCGTGCCTGGGGTGAAGGTCGGGGGATCGCCGTGGCCAAGAGAGCCCCTTCGTCCCTTGGTGAGCGTTCCTTACAGTCCTAACGGTGCCGTCCCTTCCTGGCGGCAGGCGTCGCACGTTGTGCCTCCCCGCTGTCCTCTGCCTGGGGGAGGGCCCAGGCGACACGGTGGCGGCCCTGGCGGTTTTCGCTCTCCTCGGGCCCCCCAGAGGCGTCCCGCCGGGACCGCCGCACCCGCCTCGGCAAGCGAGTCCAGACGGACCCCGACAGTGGTGTGCTGGGGCCGATTCTGAACGGATTTGAGCTGCGGCCGCGGCTGTCTCAGCTGACCTCCCGATCTCCGGGCCCCCCTCTCACCCCTACAACCAGGGCTCATTTCGATTCCTCCGGTTCGATTCGATTCGACTCCGATGGACTCCGACTCCGATTCGATTCGGACTCCGCTTGCCTGCCGATGTCTTCCGGTTCGGCTTGTCCCGATTCGGCCGCCGATCTCTGCCGATCCGATTCCCTCCGATCGCCGCTCCGACTCGTCGATTCGATTCTGGGGCTCTCCTGCTTCCAGCGCGGCAGGTGTCGCACGTCCTGGTGCCAGGCTGCGTCCAGCGGTTCGAGAGGATCGCCGCGGACGGGGAGGCGGAGGAGGAGGAGGAGGAGGAGGAGGAGGAGGAGGAGGAGGAGGAGGGAGGAGGAGGAGGAGGAGGAGGAGGAGGAGGAGAGAGGAGGAGGAGGAGGAGGAGGAGGAGGAGGAGGAGGAGGAGGAGGAGGAGGAGGAGGAGGAGGAGGAGGAGAGGCGGAGGAGGAGGTGGAGGAGGAGGAGGAGG